CAGAGCTAGTTCTCAAAGTTCTCCACCATTTACTTGATCCAACTGCGATAGGATTTATCCTCTATTCTACAGATTCTGAATTATGGTTTCACCCCGCTCAACAATCTCAAAGGCCAATAAATCCTATACTTCTGGAACACTTTTCAAATCACTATGCTTAGTTATCTCTCTCCCTACTTTCAAACACTTTTTCTTGAAATAAGATGCTAGTTTCCAGCCTGCATGGTCTTTGATATACTTAAGACCATACAAGACTAAAGCAAAATTAGGTCAGGCAGCCCAATGAGTCTGCTCTGCCATTCAGCGAGACCATGGCTGATTTACTAATCTTAAACTCCACGTTCTTGCCTTTTCCCACTAACGCTAGATTGCCCCACTGATTAAAATTTTATACACTTAATGACCCAGCCACAACTACCCTTTGTGGAGTGAATTCTACAGATGTACAATCCTCATAAACGTGTGATCCCTTATTCAGAGATTATGCCCCCGATCCCAGACTCTCCCACAAAGGAAACATCCTTTCCACATCTATCCTGTCTTCTGTGCATCTACTATAACTCAACAAGGTGGTTTCTCATTTTTTAGTATTCCAAAGAATACAGGCCTGATTGATTCAACCTCTCCTCATAAGACAGTCCTTCCCTATCTGGAATCAGCCTAGTGAACTTTCTCTGGACTGCCTCCAATGCCAGTATATCTTTACTTCGATAAGGAACCCAACTGCTCAGCTGTGGTCTGACGAGTGCCTTGTAATGCCTGTTTTTCTCTTTATGAAATCCTCCAAAACACTTTTTTCTGAGGCGCACAACACAAATAAGTTATTGTTGCATCTAATTTAACTGTATATAGGTGTACCAAAGTTGTATCAATTTAAAAGTTATTGCATATTAGTTACTTCATGAAGTTAACAAGAACAAAGCCATGGAGACTTTAGCGAGGGTATGATGGTCATAAATGTTCCACATTCAATCCTAATTCCTAATAAGCAACCTTAATTTGAATACCTACTGGGTCATAAAAGTTAGCCTCAGCACCACTTCGTCAATGCAGCAAATGTCATGAACTGGAAAATGTGTGCATGTGAATGTTGGCTAGTGAGCAGATCAATTTCAGCTGTGGTACTAAATGCCTCTCCTAAATCACCCCCTTCTGTCAAAGTGTTTGCCACACCAATTTGGGAATGTGTACATGTAAATAATGTCCACTTGGAACTGGTGCTCATGTCATTGTAACACGGCAAAGGAATGGAGAAAACTAAGTAAATAATCTTTTTAAAACTTTACAATTTACTGCATCAGCTTTGAGTATAATATTAAAAATCCTGAAATTGAAAACCTGCACATTACCATGAAGTTCCTTTACTGCATTTACATTTCTTAATGATCCAGTTGCTAAAGTAGCAACTTTTATACTTGTGTCATTTGTTAGTCCTAATGGTTCTCTGTTATTAACATTGTTCACTGATGCTTTCATAGCATTGGACAGAGGCGTCACATTCTGACTTAGAACTTGTGAAGCTAGAATATCAAGTTCCTCCAAATCATCTGCAGTGAAATCTTCATTATCTCCAAAAGGATCCTCATTTGTTCTAGTGTCCTGTTCTGCTTTGTGACGTTTGTTTGGTGGAAATCCTTCACTGTCACTGTTTATGGTCTTCTTTCCTCGGTTGGAAAGTCCTGCAAAGTTTGAAATTGGAATTTCTGATGGCACGCTTTCAAGACTATAAATAATAGAGCTGTTTCGTTTCTTTGCCGAGTTTGTAAAAAGGGTGTTTGACGACATGGTTCCAGCATTTGACCCTGCAGGACAGAACAGCCAACAGATAAATCATTTACAAACAATATCCACACTTAAATTAACATTTGGTTTGTTTATCAAAAGGCAGAATGACAGAAAGCTGACATCCGCACAAAGAAGACTTTCTTAATCCAAAATTGAAGACTTTCATGGCAGATATTTACCAAAGTCAGAAAAAAGTCTTCTAATACATGGCCAATTATAGAATTAAAGGGCTGCAAAAGATAATCTGATCACAGCCGAAAACAAATATGCCACTTGTATTTCAATATATAAAGAATTCACTGCTTCCAACTACCAAAGACAGTCTATTCCACACATTCACCACTACCGTGAATGTCCACTTGTACAGCATCATTACCATAGTAAAAGGTTTAAAAATGCCTCATAATGCTTTTAATCAAACACAGTCACAATGGAGACAGTAAAACAAGTGAACAAAACAGATTTTAACGAGTATCTCAAAAGATGAGAGGAAAGAGTACAAAAGCAGAAAGGTTAAGGAGAGAATTCCAGAACTTAAGAGCTTTAGCAGTTGAAGGCACAATCATCAACAGTGGGACAATTAAAATTCGGAATGCACGAGGCGCCAGAATCAGAGGAGGACAGAGATATTCTAGGTGGTAGAACTGGACGAGGTTACAAAGATAGGGAGGAGCAAAGCCTAAATATAAAAATATTGTGCCCTTTTATTCTTCTATGTTTGAGTCCATGTAACTTGCTTGTAAAGGCTGTTGGAATTTTAAACAGATCAGGGCTTAAAATATTCAACCGTCTATGGTACTTATATACCTGCAAATAACATTCCCTTCAAATATCCTTGAACTACAACTATGGTATATCATTTCTCAAATGGCAAGCAGTTAACAAAACAGAATGCACTTCAACATTATGCTTACTTGAAACATTTATGCTTCACCTGAATCAACAATCCAGTGCTGATTTAAAACTCTGTTACACAGGTTCAATTATTTTACACTTGGGAACTTCTTGATCTGCTAACCAAAGGCAGGTCCCATTTTCCTGCAGAGATGAAAGACAAAAATTTTCAGACATTCTAGGAGCTGGTTAGAAGAGTACAGATAAAAACCTGTGAACAATTCACCTGCACATTCTTTCAAATGATGTGTGGTACTTAGGAAAAAAGACAGGGGAAAGGGAGATCTTTGAAACACTCAAGTCAGCTCATTTGTACAGAACTGGTAAAAGATCTACCATGGTGCTAAATTCATTGATGTCTAAAATACAGCAATTGGGATGCCACAATTGGCCTGTGTTCTTGGAGGTGTTGCAGACGTAATTTTGATGGAAGTTAAATTAGATCTAAAAGCTCAATTATGACCAGGATTTTAATTTACAACAAAATACAAGTCACAAATATGTTTAAATGAACTTTGACACAGAGCAGTTCATATCATTAGTGGGTTTGCCCATGACATATCCAAGCAAAGTTGTACCCCAAAGATCCTGCTACAAATAAGAGTCATAAAGGCATACAGCATGGAAACAGGCCCTTCAGCCCAACTCATCCATGCCAACCCACATTTCCCAACTGAACCAGTCCCATGTATTTGGCCTATATCCCACTAAACCTTTCCTATCCACGTACCTGTCCAAACGTATTTTAAATGTTGTAATTGTACTCACCTCTACCACTTCCTCTGGTGGCTTGTGTGTGTGAAAATGTTATCCCTTCGGTCCCTTTTAATGCTTTTCCCTCTCACTTTAAACATATGCCCTCTAGTTCTGGGTTGCCCAACCCTGGGTAAAAGACTCAGCTATTCATCTTATCTATGCACCTCATGATTTTATAAACATATATAAAGGTCACCCCTTAGCCTACTATGCTCCAGGGAAAGAAGTCTCAGCCTCTCCTTATGACAAACTATGGCAGATCCATTCTGGACACCATACTGCATTACTCACTCTTCTTACTTTAGTTGTAAATCACAATACCTAGACCTTAGCAACATTAATTTCAGAAAACTATCAGTATCAATAACCCTTCAAATCACTTGCAAAATACAAATTATTTACCTAGATTATTTGAGAATCTAATACATGCTTGTGAATATGCTTCCAAATTATGTTGCAAAAGCCAAAAGTGTTTAATATTGTTAAAAGACAGACCAACATTTCTTCTGATCAGGTATGAATTCTCAACTTTCAGCTCACTCAATAAAAGGTCAAAGCTAACAAATCAGAAATTGAAAGGCAAAAAATGTGAATGCATGTAATCTGAAACACAGACATACCTTGATTTGATTTATCAAATCAACTATGTTCTACAAGCCTGGCAGTGCATGCAAAGAATAGAATTAAGGTTGATGGGTTTCGATCAGAACTGGAACATGGTACCAACCTTACTTTTTCAATTTCATCCAACGCACCTGTTGTGGCATGATGGTGCTGTCCCTACCTCTGAGCCAGGAGACTTGGGTTCAAGTCCCACTTGCTCCAGAAGTGTATATAATGTCTCTGAACGGGCTATTTAAAATATCTAAAACCTCTAAATGCTATGTCTCTAACAGATCCAGTTCTGATGAAAAGTCACGGAATTGGAAGTTAACTCCGTTTCTCTTTTCAGATAATACTACTAACGTGCTGCTTATTTCCAGCATTTTCAATTTATAAAAGTCAGACAACTGTCTTCTCCCCAGACAGATTGTACTCTTTATATATGACTGAACGGCTTCAAATTTCGCAACTTTTCCTGACAAACAAGTGAATCTATCAGGATAGTAATTAAAAATCCGCAAGGCTCTCCAATTCTGAAACTCACATCTCTTCAAACAGCAGGTACCGGCCCCTAGCGGCCATGTTGTCCACCTGGAACCGCGTACCACCAACTATGACCAATCAACTCACCGCTTCTTCCTGTACACATCCTCCCATCCAGATTTCTGATTGGAGGTCGCTACAACTACGGTATCGTCATGGTTCACATTGTATTTTGATAATGCATTTCGAATCATAGAACACATGCAAATGTAATAATATTTACTCCTTCAAAAACAAACATTCCTCAGAGAGTATTATTTACGTTTCAAAGTTATACTGTGGTTCTGAATTTGATGTCAGCAATGGATTACTATGGGATAAAACACAGTGTGGAGCTGGATGAACACAGCAGGCCAGGCAGCATCAGAGGAGCAGGAAAGCTCGGGTCATTAGGCCTATTTCTGAAGGAGGGTCCCGACCCAAAACTTTTCTGCTCCTCTGATGCTGCCTGGTCTGCTGTGATCCTCCAGCTTCACAGTGTTATCTCTGACTCCAGTATCTGCAGTTCTTGCTATCTCTGGGATACGTTGATGCTCCAAAACGGCTTTTCTTCCCGCTGCCGAGGCACCAAGGGAAGACCTCGTCGTTTGTATTTGAAGACGCACCCCAGGGCAAAGAGATTCTACACTGATTTATCAAACAGGTTGACGGCAGCTGAGAAATCAAGTAAAATAGAGTAAGATCATTAGAAATAGGAGCGGAATTAGACCATTCGATGCACTGAGTCTGCTGCATTCCCCATTTATAAGCTCATGGTTGTCAGATTGTGGCCCGAAATTCATTTGCCTGCCCGGCCGTCTATCACACTTGAGTCCCTTGTCAATCAAAAACCTGTTTAACTCAAATTTGAATATATTCCATATCTCCACTGTTGTCTTTGGAATTCCAAAGATTCACAATCATCTAAAATAATTAAGAAATTCCTCCTCATCTGCGTCTCAACTGGAATATCTTATTTTTTTACTCCCCCAGAAGTATTCTGAGTAGAAATGCTCCCCCACTATCCACTCTCTCAAAGCTGTTATTATCAGTCCGATTACCTCTTAGTTTTCTAAACGTTTAGAGTACTCCAACGAATATAGACACAGCCAGCTTAACCTTTGCTGTATAGGGGTCTGTAAGGGTTAATACTGCGATATTACATAAGCACCACCCATTAGCGAGAGGATAAAAGGTTTAAATAAACAATATTACTGCGGCTCTATTTCGAGGTGTACAAGATGAGTTAGACCAGAATGTGTCATTCGTATGTTTTACTGATTTTTCCATCTGAGTGTGACAACATGGACTTGTGGACACAACAGTTTAGGATCTCAAAGGAGTAAGACTTAATATCTGGCCATCCTCAAAGTCTCTGTATCAATGTGTACCATATCAATGCAAACTAACCAGTTGGAAACATACAATAAATGATATCTTGTCAACTACAAAAGATTCTTCTGGTAAGAATAAGAAGTGTGTTTCTTTGCCACTCTAGACCAAACAGGCCCAGTAACTGCCTACATTAAAAGAGGATGTTGGTGGCAACCTTCATGGTGAGGAGTGGTTCATACAGTGTAATGAGGTGGCATGTTCATACAACACTTTCCTCATCAGACAATTACTTCATTCCAGGAATCAGCCTGAGGAACTTTCTTTGAATTAATTCCAATGAAAATATATATCTTGTATTAAAATTAGAATTAGGTTTATTGTCACATACTCAAGTACAGAGATACGTGAGCTAAAAGTGTATAAAGTCACCATTTCCGGCACTATCTAATGTACAGAGATACCTAGGTATGAAATCTTAAGTATAAGTTAGAAAAATGAAAGCATAAAGTTAAAAGATCAGCATTGCAGTCCTTACAAAGCTAAGTACAAAGATACCTAGGTACAAAATCTTAGATATAAATTAGAAAAATAAGGAAATAAAGGTAAAAGTCTTTCCGGAGCAGGGAGTCCACACTGGGTTTCTCCTCGAGGCCGGGAGTCTGCGTTGGGCTTTCTCGAGGCCAGGAGTCCATGATGGGTTTTCCCAAGAAGACCGGGATTCCATGCCGGGATTAAAGAGATCAAAACTGCATTCCAGGTGCAGAATGTGTCAAAGCCCTGTATTGTTGTAGTAAGATTTAGATACTTTTATACTCCATCATTTTTCAAAAAGATATTTAATTTGTATTCCTAAAAATCCACTGGGATGTTTCCAGAATCTAGGGAATTTTGGAAAATTCCAACCAGTGCATCCAGTATCTCTGCAGTCATTTCCTTTAAGTCTCTAGGATGTGGGCCATCAATCTAGGGTCTTGTGAGCTTCTAATCTCCTCAGTTTTTGAGGTATTTTGTCTCACATAATCAGGGGAGGTGATGGCATGGTGATGCTGTGGCTAGACTGGTAATCTAGAGCCTCAAGGCTAATGCTGTAGGAATATGAGTTCATATCCCACTGTGGCAGTTGGTGAAATTTGAATGGAGTTTTGAAAAAATCTGGATTTGTAAAAGCTAGCTCAATAGTGACCGTGCAGCCACTGTTGATTGTCCTAAAATGTCACCTGGTTGACTATGCCCTTTGGTAATAGAAAGCTGCTAACCTTATCTGGCCTGGCTACACTTGACTTCAGATCCAAAGAAATATAGTTGACTCTTAAATGCCTTCTGAATTGCACTTGAGAATCAATCAGATAATGGGCAAAAAATGCTGGCCTTGCCAATGGGACCCACATTCCATGTAAGGATAGATAAAGTTGTGATTGTTTTGAGCCCCTGTCTCCCATTTTGCCTCTTGATTATCTACTATTCTTTGGATGCTAACAGAGTCTTCCACTACAGAATCCCTGTTCAAAGTTTCTGTCATTTCCTTGTTTTACATAGAAGATAGGAGTAGGATTAGGCCCTTCGACTCCTCAAACCTGCTTTGCTTTTCAATATGGTCATGGCAGATCACTGAATTCATTACCCTAAGCCTGCCTTGTCCCCATATCCCTTGATCCCTTTATCCACAACAGCTATGTTTCGGCCTTAACCATTTTCTGTGGTAGTAAATTTCACAGGCTCACCACTCTGGGTGAAGAAATTTATCCTCATCTCAATCCTAAAAGGTTTACCCCTTATCTTATGACCCCTGGTTCTGGATTCCCCCATCATTGGGAATAACCTTCCTGCATCCAACCTGTCTGGTCTGTTAGAATTTTACAAGGTTCTATGATATTCTTCCTCATTCTTCTAAACTGCAGTGAATACAATCCTAACTGACTGAATCTCTTCTCATATGTCAGTCTTGCCATCCCAGGAATCAATTTGGTAAACCTTCACTGCGCATCCTCTATAGCCAGAACATCCTTTTTCAGATAAAGAACCCAAAACTGCACACAATATTCCAGGTGTGGCCTCAGCAATGTCCAGTATAATTGCACCCAAGACATCCCTGCTCCTGTACTCAAATCTTCTCACCATGAAGGCCAATGTACAGCTTGTCTTCTTTAATGCCAGCTGCCCCCACTCACTTACTTTCAGCAAATGGTGCATGAGGACACCCAGGTCTCATTGAACATTGCCTTTTCTGAATTTATTGCCATTCAAATAATCTTTCTTCCTATTTTCCATTCAAATCTGCCTTCCTATTTTCCACTATTAATTCCACAGTCTCAGACTCCAAAGAATCAACACTCACTTTAGCTGCTTTCTTCTTTTCTATAATTAAAGAAGCTTATTTTTCTTATTATTTCACGAGATGTGGGTGTCACTGACAAAACCAACATTTGCTTCCCATTCCTAATTACCTTTGTACTAAATGACTTGATCATCCATTTCAAACACATTGCTGTGGATGTGGAGTGACGTAAAAGCCAGACCAGGAAAGGGTACAGACTTTCTTTGTGATGGGGAAGCCACTGGAAACTATTCTGATGGACAGAATTAATCTGTACTTGGAGAGACAAGAATTAATTAAGAACAGTCAGCATTTTTTTTTAAGGCGATGTCACGTTTGACCAATTTGACTGAATTTTTTGATGAGGTGAGTACGTGTAGATGAGGACAATTCATTTGATCTAGTCTACTTAGACTTCAGAAAGACTTTTGATATGGTTCTGCATGGAGACTGATAGTGAAGATCATGAGATCCAAGGAAATTTGGATAATTGGATCCAGAATTTGCTAAGCGGCAAGAAGCAGAGGGTGATGGTCTAGCAGTGTTTTCGTGACTGGAATCCTGTGTCCATTGGGGCTCCATAGGGATCAGTGATGGGGTCAGGGTGGTAAATAGGAGGATAACCTTAGATTACAGGAGGATATGGTTTGGTCAGTTGGGCTGATCAGTCACAAATGGAATTCAATCAGGATAACTACGAGGTGATGCACTTGGGTAGGATAGACAAGGCATGAAAATACATGATGAATGGTAGGACGGAGAGAAAAGTAGTTGATCAGAGGGTCTTTGGTGAGTGCGTCCATTGGTCCCTTAAGGTAGTAGGACACATCGATAAAGTGGTTAAAAAGGCAGGACGGATATCTGCCTTTATTAGCGGAGGCATAGGTTATGGTGGAACTGTATAAAATTTTGGTTAGACCACGGCTAGAGTATTATGTGCAATTCTGGAATCCACATTATGGGATTAGACTGGAGACGGTGCAGAAGAAATTTATCAGAATGTTACCTGGGCTGGAAAGTTCTACTTACCAATAGAGATTGGATAGACTGGGGTTCTATTCCTTGGAGCAGAGGAGGCTGAGGGGAGCTATGACGGTGAAGTATAAAATTATGAGGAGCATAGACAAGGTAGACAGAAACAAACTTTTCCCGTCATTGGAGAGATCAGTGCTAGCGGGCACAGACTTAGGGTAAGGGACAGGAGGTTTAGAACATGCGAGAAAAAAATTTCACTCAGAGGATGATGGCAATCTGCAACTCACTGCCCATAGACATAAATGTAGAAAGATGTTCCCTCTTGTCGGACAACCGAGAACTAGAGGTCATAGTTTTAGGATAAAGGGTGACAGATTTCAAACAGTGATGAGGTGAAATTACTTCACTCAAAGGGTCATGAATCTGTGGAATTCACTACCCCCAGAGTGTAGTGGACGTGGGACATTGAGAAAACTTATTGAGGAGATACAACAAATTTTTAATAAGCAATATATATGGGTGGAAATTCCAAATAAGAAAGGGAAAGATTACTTTGAAAGGATTGTACTATAGGCCCCTCAATAGTAAGAGCGAAATTGAGAAACAAATATGCAGGGAGATCTCATGTATATGTAACCATAATAAGGTTGTTACAATGGAGGAGTTTTCATTTTCCAAACACTGACTGAGGCTACCATAGTGTTAAAGGTTTGGATGGTGAAGAATTTATCAAACGTGTTCAAGAAAATTTTCTTTATCAATATGTGGATGTTCCTACTAGAGAAGGACCAAAACTAGACATTCATTTGGGCAATAAGGCAGGGTAGGTGACAGAAATAAAAATGGGGGAGCACTTTGGGTCTAGTGATCATAATTCTACTGGTTTCAAAATGGTTATGGAAAAGAAGAAGCCATCCATAAAAGTTTAAATTTTTAATTAGAGTAAGGCAAATTTCAATGGTACGAGACAAGAGCTTTCAAAAATTGATTGGAGTAGACTGTTCGCAGGTAAAAGAATGTCTGAGAAATCGGAGGTGTTCAAGAGTGTGATGAAGAAAGTTCAGAGACATTTT